CGAATATCTCTGGTAAGTGTGTTGCCTCAGTAGACCACTAGAGACGTGCTATTTTTCTTGTGTCCTAGGAGAGGATGTTGACAAGCTTTTCCATTATGTGTTTATTTAGTTTTTGTCATGTTCGTAGATACAGTTCTGAACATGTTTTGGATAGAGCAGGGAAAGCGAAAGACTTTTGCGAAGCTGTCGACCTGTAATGTTATTTGTCTTTGGTATATGCAAGTGGTTCGATCTTGGTGCCTCCAATTTAAAGGCTGTCTAACCTGTCAAATGAAAAAATGCAGCAGAGATCGAAAATTTTATTCCGCTCTGCCGGGTCGGAAATTTTTCGTACCTGCTGCTTGGATTATTTCTAATTTTTACCGCCTTCAACCGTTCTAAGAACTACTTTTAGTCAACTGGTTAATTTTCGATGTTATAACATGTTTCTGCAATTTTCAAATGAGTTTATATTTAAATTCATTCGAAAGCTTTCTTAAACTTACGAAACAATATGCTCTAGACCTCATTCCCTCTTCTTTTCAATTATTAGCTCGAAACTAAATTCACTCTTTGCTAAGCATTCAACCTATGGCTTGTTTTATATTGTGCGTGATGCTTTGCATATGTATTGTAGCGACGGTATTATAGCCTGCATAAGCATTTTACGAGATACAGGATGCTGTACCGACGTAGAAAATCACAGTCATTTTCTGGGTCAGTTTAGCGTTCTTTCTTCATTATGGCCATATCTTACAGTCAGTCCTAAAGAACTGTCGCTCTTCAAATTTCCAATAACCAGGGTTGTTAGTGCTTGTGCGCTTTTGTTTTCAGCCTGTTCATCTGTTAGTCCATCGAATCCAGAACCTTTTCTATTTCCTGCTTGGATGACTGCCTTTACTCTTCAGTACTTATGGGACTAAAGACTAATTAAGTATGTCTGTTCGACATTTCCATGTGGCAAAGCATCACTGCGAAAAAACAAGACTTGTTTGAATACATTTTTAAGTTTTGAAATAAGTCGCTATACTTATATTTCAATATATTTGCTCGACGGCATCTTTATAGCCTTCCAGAGAATTTGTCTTCTCAATAACATGTGACCGATGCTGGAGGAAGTGGACTGCTGGACTGTTCACGGTCAAATCATTAAAAGTTTAATGACTGTAACTAGAAGAAAGTTTAGAGCTGAAAGCATTTTAATGTGCAGATCTAGTTTTACTTCATGGCGGTGTGCTTAGGTTTATCAAAACTCCTGAATTTTGCTCATTGATAATCGCGCTTTCTTCAGCATGCCTTTGTCCACGTACAATTTCTGTAAATTTTCTGTGAATTGCCTGGCATTGACGGTAATGCCATCGTTGTCCCACTTAACTATCAATAGCGTTAATGCTCTTTCAGCATAAAATTTCACTTTCCTAAATTTTTAACATTGTTTTTCTTTGCAATTTTTTGATAATTTCTAATGTTTTTTCTCTCAGAAACTTCATTTTATATTGTTTGTATCATTTTCCAACCTTGCAAATTTCTTCGACTTTAATGGAATATACTCTTTCCGTTTTTTCTCGTAGATTCCAGTTGTTCCAAGGTTTCTTCCGTGCATGTCTTGTCCCCAAACGCGCGTTCAGAACTAGTTATCCGATTTGTCTTCATTATGAACTTAAGACAGGTGAACATGTGAAAGATGTCTTCTCATGAGACCAAAGGGTGCATTACTGTGATAGGTGTTTGCGGCGAAAATGGACACGTCGGTGGTGAGACGACAGCAGGAATACAAGTTTCAGTGAGTCGACAGTAAGCTCATTTACATGCCACTTACCTGATTTGCCAAAACGCTATAGAGAGGATCATGCAATTCATTTACGGCCAGAACGCGTTGACCGCTGACTAATTCACGGTTTCTTTTGTTGTCAACGGCATTCTTTCGATCGAATTTTTTTACCGTGAACCTTGGGCATCGAGAAGCTGATCGATTTGGTTCACCGAACGATAAATATCCCATGCATACAGATTGCCTGCCATGATTCGGCACTGCCCAACCTTTACTCGTCATTCGATCAGAGTCCTCTCGCTACGGACTGGCTGTGGACGCCGATCGGCAGGAGGAAGCGCTTGCTCAAAACAACGTTGAGAAAACTGCAAGAGTTTGTTAATGAAGGGATGAGGCAAAGATGATTAGCGGTTAGAAGTTTCTCAGTCTAACACATCATTTATTATTTCAAGTTGCATGCTCGAGGTATCGTAAGGTAAAAATGAAAAACAATACCCTTTATCGCCTAAGCTTGCCCGCCCGTTTGGAACTCAAACATACAGACAGGTGCTAAGAGTTGTCTCTGTCGATCGGCTGACCTGGGTGATGTCGGAGGCCAAATCGGAGGCGGAGTGTGTTCGCTGCAGTAGGCGTCAAGTTCATACATTCACAGCGCTGCGTTCTACTGAGGTCGTTTGGCATTGCAGATTATCTCTGGATCAGCGGCAGCAACGAGTTTCGGTCAGGCGAACGCATAGATTTTGCGATAATACCATAGACGACAGCGTAACAGTGGTGTTTGCTGCGTTCTCGGAGGAAGTAATCGTTCCTAACGTTCGTAAGCTACAGCTTCGTCCGTTTCGTCAGTCGACTACAAATGAAGTAAGTAGGCCTGTGCCAAACTGCTAGCGCTGAAACGTGGAGTTATTTCGTTCCGGCAGTTGATCATACGAGCGTCCTTCTTGAGACTCACGCCAGCCGCTTATGCTTATGTTGTACCATCGACGCTGTTGGAACCTGCCGAAGCCGCGCCACTCAATAAAGGATAGTGCAAACTGGTGTAAAAGTTGCCGAGTCTCAGTTGAACTCTGATCGTCACCTTAAGGTCGTCGCTGCTGGCGATGCGTTGTTTTTGACTAGCGGCATCGACGAGGTGTCGAAACAGGAAGCCGCATAATCCGAACGCGGTGCCAACAGCTGTCCGTGAGTGCATGATACGGCACGTCTTCGAGCGTCACTTCGTCATCGTTATCGACCGAGAAAGCGCTGATGTGGCTCTCTGGTCGTATATGACATTTTATTGGCATCCCGCGTCCCCTTGCAACACATCTGTTCGAATACGTTGCTTCTTGAAGTTTTCGGTCCTTTCGTGGAGCGGTTCTTTCACTGGATAAATACAAAGTTAACTTAGGGAACTTTCGCTTAAGTATTGCTGAAATAAGGGCCTCGGCACGATTTTAAAGTTTTTATACCCTTGCGCTTGTGTGCACATTGATATGGCCGTAATCAGTCAAAAGTCATATCTGAGAAGAATGGCTGATGATTCTGTTCAGTCTTCTCCAAAAGGGCTTTGTCTAATGTAATCTCTTGAATAATAACTGTTTTTTTCTGCTAGGCGTTCTTCGTTGCTTTGATTCTTCTACCGGTTAACGGTGTTCTGCAGTACAGTAATAAAATCGAATCGCCTTTCAATTTTAAATACTGGTATTGCTTGTTATATTTGCAGTACTGTGGGGTTCTAGGTTCTCAGCTTTAGCTGAGGCTGAACGAAACTCGAACATCAAATTTGCTCAGTTTAATCGTAGCGCAGATGGTTGAATCAGCGGTTTCAACGAAGCTTTACGGATATCCTCGCTTTGGCCAAAGTCATATTCTTTGTCACGGAGAAGCCAGTGTATTAGCCTACGTTTTTATGTATGCATTGATATTATGTATTAAAAAACACATCCAGACCGTTACGTGCGCGGCTGATATCGACCAGGAAGCCGATGTGCAACGTGAAGGAACACGATAGAGGCAGATCTGCTTTCGGACAGGAATATTTTCTTCTACGATGCACTAACCGGTCTACTGTAGCAAGAGCGTTGTAAAGCTGCGAATATAACGGACAACATAATTCAAAGACGTTCTGTATGTGCAAACGGATCAAAGTGATGATCTCAACTAACACACATTACGCACGTTGATCGTTCATTCACTAGTTTTCCAAGCTTGCTATTCCTCTCGAACCTCGGGTGACTGTTTAAAGAAGCTTTTCGCCGTCAACAGATAAGCTTAATAATCTGGATGCTAAGCATGAAAATGCCAAATCTTCTCTATAATTGACCCAAATGGTCCGTTGTGTCTCCATGGGCCGTCTTCTCTGTATCTTTGCCAAGAGTTCGCCGTGGAAGGAATATCAGTCAAATGTCAAAATCATCATAATTGTTATAATAGTGATCTCTTGATTTAAGGAAGATGGCGAAGGAGTAGCTCGCAGTTTATGATTTCATGAACTGCTGAGTTATGAGCCTTTCGAAGACAGCAAAATTCTGCCGTTTGCTTATGCGATCCAACTCGACGACCTTAAACCTCCATTAACTCTGCCAGCTGGTGTCAGAACTTCATGAGCTATGACAACAAGTTGCGAGAAATGTTGCCGAATACCGCCGTTCCAGGTGATTAGGTAAGGGTAGGTGCCTATGCAGACTCAAAGGCACATACCTTTGCACTATGACTTAGTTTGTTCATCGCCACAGATTCGTTTCGCTCCAGAATTATTGCGCTCCGCTCGCCTAGCTGAGCGATGTGCTTGTTTCAATGTCCTGCCTGGAATCTGTTGTGAATGCTACCCGAAGATACTTGAACTTTCCTTCGTGCTCAAGCAG